AGGAAAAAAACTGTCTGTCTGCCATACAGCATGAAGCCTATCTGTAATAAAAAATTTGTGTTGTCATACCTGCAGAATAGTACCTGCAGAGCAGGTGTTCCTCCTGGGCTAAGATTTTCTAAAATCCTGCACCATCATCAGTGTATCCACATTTTATAAATCATTACTAGACATACACTTATTTTAAAGGTACAATTTTAAGTATAAAATGTGCTTTTTTAAAAAACAGAGGGCTTTTGGGTGCTATCAGAGGTGTTCTGCCTTGCTCTGCTTTTAGATGGTGAAGGGCCTTTGCACCATGGAGTCTGCAGCACCTGGCTGAACACAATAGAGCTCAACAAAACTGTTCCCTGCTTCATCCGCAGGTAAAGAAAATTAAATAAGAGCAGCTCATGGTTCAGCTCCTTCAGTGGGTTTTCCTTTGTTTGGATGTTTTCAAGTGACTGCTGAGTTGAAGTTGAATAGCTGGGTCTGAGAAGAGAAGGAATTCGCTGTCTTCTAGAGATTAGATCTTTTACCATGCCTTACATTAGTAAAATTACATATCATTAGAAAATTCTGAAATAATTCTATTGCTATGACCCCATCCCAGCTGTCCGCTTCTCCACTGCAGAGCAAGGAAAGGGGAGGGAACAAGGAGCATCCAGTTCAGCCCCACTGCTGCTTTCACACTAGGCACTTGGACTGTGCTGCTCAGTCATCCAAGCAACTGAACGCGAGTTTCGTCAGAAACCAGTTACCTAATTAACTTACTCTTGCCTTTCAGTGCTAATGAGTTCCACCTCCCGGAGGAGCCATCCAAGTCCTGCGTTCTGATCGGCTCGGGCACGGGGATTGCTCCCTTCAGGAGCTTCTGGCTGCAGCGCCTCTATGACCTGGAGCACAGAGGTACCTGTGGGGGCCTGGGGCAGGGCTGGTCAGGGACACCCCAGTCCTGCAGCCAGGGCTCTGCAGCCACAGACAGCCACAAACATCAGCCAGGAGCCCCTGCAGGCACCGCAGGCTCCGGGCACTGGCACAGCCAGCGCATCCCAGGGACCGTTCTCCGTGTGCGGGGGTCACTTGGGGACTGGAGGGCACAGCCTGTGTGCCAGTCCTGTGTGTCAGTGGCTGCCCCAGGCACTCAGACTGCCACTGTCCCACGCGGTTTCAGGGCTCAGAGGAGGGGACATGACCCTGCTGTTCGGCTGCCGGCATCCAGACCTGGATCACATCTACAGGGAAGAGACTGAGGAGATGAAGAGGAAGGGAGTCCTGAGAGATGTCTACACAGCTTACTCCAGACTGCCTGGCCAAGAGAAAGTAAGGCTGGTTCCTTTATTCTTTAAGGGGTAGCTCCTCTAGAATCATCCCTCGAGTTAAGATCTGGGCTCTGGTTGTTCTTAAAAAAATGTTATCATTTTGCTGCAGTTTACTGTGAGCAGCTTTGAGCTTCTTCAAATGAAGAAAAATCTCCCTGTGCACTCCAGCACAAGCAAGGTGTGCTATAAATTGCTATAAATATAACCCCTCACTGCCATAGATAGGCACATCCAGTGCAAACAGCCTTTGGAACTAGAACTGGAACATTTTCAGAAACCTTGTATTTTGCAGGATTTGATTAGCCCATGAGTTAGAAATGAGTTGGCATTGGCTATTTTTCCCATTTTAATGATATAGTGACCATGGAAATAAATTTTACGTAGAAGAATCTTGACTGGGAAAAAAACAGAATAAAAGTTATCCTCTTTTTAGCTCTCCTGGCAGTTAGGAGACTTTGGCATGTAGAAGAGTTTTTGTTTGACCAAGAGACAGGCCCAGCTTCCAAATCTGGGCTTGTAAATGGCAACCTGAAGACATTTTTCACCTTTTCTGCGGTGCAGGACAGAGCTGGAACAGACAGGGCACCCAGAGCCTTAGTGCACAGACCCACGATGGACTGGGAAGAGGCAGCAGCCAAAGCAGCATTTCAGAAGCCTGGTGTGCTGACGGTTTTTGTGTTTCCAGGTGTACGTCCAGGACGTGCTGCAGGGGCAGCTGGCGGCCCGCGTGTGCGAGGTGCTGCAGGGGCAGCAGGGCCACGTGTACGTGTGCGGGGACGTGCGCATGGCGCGGGACGTGGCCGGCGCGCTGCGGGCGCTGCTCGCCCGCGCCCTGCGCCTCAGCCAGCAGCAGGCCAGCGAGTACTTCCAGCAGCTCAAGGTAGCTGTCATCACAGGCCTGCCCTCCCGCGGGTGGGGCACAGCCAGGCTCGGGTGCTGGGAGCTCCTGTGCGTGCTCGCACAGGGACCAGGCTCTGAGGGAGCGGCTTGGTGCCCCCGGCACTGCCAGCGCAGCTTCTGCTCGGTCAGGCTCAGGGGGCACTCTGCTGCTCTGCCTGGGGGGGCCTGGGGATCAGCACTGCAGGGTGTTGGGAACATCAGGAGCTTGAGGCTTTATTGTACCAGCAGAGGAGAAGTGAGTTCAGAATTTCGTGGGTCCATCACCAAGAGCCCAGTGCCTGGGGCTGCTGCTTTTTCAAACCCTCTTGTTATTAGAACTCATCCCGGTGCATTTGTGCCTCAGATTCAGGAGCTCCCTTTCACTGGCAGTAACAAAAGTCTACAACCACAGAACCAGTTCTACAAATGCAAAAGGCCTTTTAGTTACTGAACTGATGGATAAGGAGTAGCTGGCATCATTTCATTCATCTCTTGGGTGTCCTTTCTTTTTGCAGAGCCAAAAGCGATACCATGAAGATATATTTGGGGCTGTGTTCCCACATGAAGTCAAAAGAGCTTTGCAACCCACCAGCTGAAGAACAAATTCACTTGTGTTTTAGACAATATTTGCACATTTCTTGCTATTTTCAAAAGACAAAGACTCAAATCCTCCTTCTTATACTTGTTCAATCATGCATGTGTATAGGATTGTGGGATTTGACTCTTAAACCAAAGCCTTAATTATGTAAAATATTAAATTTAACTTTTGTTGCTATTTATTCTGACATTTTAATACATTATCTTAATAACGAAAGTGCAAATTATTTTTTAATACCATCTATGGTAGTATAAATCTGGTCATTTTTATACATACAAGGAAAATCTACAGTTTTGTACTAACTAGAGCTTGAAATCTTTTTTTTTAATGTACTGTTTATCTTTGTGACCTTATTTATATCAGATTGGTTTACTTGCACATTATCTTCACTTGAAAGTAGGTGAATGCATGGTTGTGTTGCTGGGAGTTGTCTGGCCCTGTGCCTGGATCTGGAGCAGTGTTTGCAAATGAAATAATAATGTGCTGGTCCCAAAATGGCAACTCCTGCTGCATCCTCCTCAGCTGTGTCTGCTCAGCAGGTAGCAGTGGGGAATTCTGCTTTGTGGGACTCAGGTACATTAACCTCAGCTGTTGTTGCTGTTGTTGTTACAGAGCCTATAGCAGGAAGGTTCAAAAAATTCCAAAGCACTTTGTACATTTGAATGCTCTGGTTTTCTTGATTTGTTTGTAATAAAATCTGCCTTTATACTGAGACAAAGCGTGTGGATCAGTGAACCTCTTCTTGCTCTTGGCTCCAGCCTGCAAAGGCAGAGGTAACAACTCTCGGGCTGTGCTGAGGTGGGTTTGGCTCCAGGCAATGCTCCTCCCTGAGCTAAGGGCATCTCCAGGAGTTACAGTCTGCCTATGATCACTTTTGCATTTTTGTTACTGCCAGGCAAGTGTGAGTTTGCACCAGGGAGAGACTGGCTTGAAACTGCCCTTGTTGTATTTGGCCTTGGGCTCTTTCTAGGTGTTGCAGTTACATCAGAAATAGTTCCTTCTCTGAAATTACCAGGGCTAGATGAGCATATTAAAAAGGTGAGATTTTCCTGTCATCTCTTGTCTCCAGGAGCTGGAATTGATGAAGGCAGAGTTGAGACTCTAAAGTCAGCAGTGCTATGTGTAAACAGTGTGTTTCACATGTGCTGCAGGACAGCCTTTAGCCACAGGACCTGGAACTTGGCTGGATTACTGAGGTAGTTGTGCACCCCGCTGGGCTGGGACTGGACTGGGAGTTACAGATTAGCACTTCTGCAGCAATTAGTGTGCTTGTTTCATTGACTCTTACACCAAATTTATGTGGCTTTAAGGGAATTCAGCATCCAGAACAGGCTGTGTGCCAGGCACTGAGGTGCAGACGGATCTTGCTCTTAGCCTAGTTCTGTACCTGGTTTTGGGTGCTGGTGAAACCCCCAAGAACAGGGCTGAACTGGGGCAGCTGGGCTGAACTGGGGCAGCTGGGAGAGTCCTGGGCTAGCAGCACAGGAGCACTGCTGGCTGCCCTCCGCCCCTGAGTGCACAGGGTGCATTCCTGAGCTTTGGGGAGCAGTCTGACATTGGGATATTCTTCGAGCTTCATTTTCCTAACACTATTAACTGAAGGAAAAGGAACGGAATGTGTGGACAGAGTCCATGAGTGCAGGGAGGTGACAGAAGATTGGGCCTTGCATCAGGGGAATGCAGAAAAGGTGGGGGATGCTGGGGCCAGGCAGGGGGATGAGGGATGATCAAGGCTCATTAGGAACACCTGAGGCTCATTAGGAACACCTGAGGCTCATTAGGAACACCTGAGGCTCATTAGGAACACCTGAGGCTCATTAGGAACACCTGAGGCTCACAACGGACAGCAAAGGGCTGTGGAGCAGAGACTGGCAGATGCTGCTTGTGTTGGGGTGATGTGCGAGGCTGCTGAGCTCTGGGCCCTGGAGACACTGAGGCCAGGTAGGTGAAAGGCTTTTTCTTCTCCTTGGTATTTCGTTAATGCTGTGTTACACTGTCCATGTGCACAGGGGCTCTGCCTGCCCCAGTAACCCTGCTGGGGGCCAGGGCTGGAGCTGCTGCCTTGTCTGGGAGGAGCAGGCTGACCTGTGAGGATGAAGCTGGACGTGGTGTGCCCAGCTCTCCCAGATCCTGCTCCAGCAGTTCATTTGTAGCCTGGGGGGTTTCCGTGGGAGTCTGCTCCTGCTCTGGGTCAGCTACAAGTCAGTGGGACTCAGTAACACTCGCTTTATCCAGACCAAAGATTTATTCACTGAAAAGATTCCTACATATCCAGAATTCCAGTAGCATAGAGTGCACTCTTTTTTTCTTTTTTGTTGGTTGCATAAACTAATACAGAAACTGTTCTTAATTCTAACAATTTGTAATTAATTTAATAGTAATTCTGGAAGACACTCAGTTCATAGAAAATATAAAAAAAATTTTGTACTGTACAAAGTTTACATCACATTTGAAAAGAAAACATGTCCATGTTCACCATGTTACAACCATTTACATTCACTACTGACATGTGGCTCCTGTAGCAGCATTGCACAGCATTGTCACATTGACAGCTCCACCGGGGTGGGACATGACACAAACACAACCCAGGGACTTGGCTTGGTGTGTGGGGCCAGGACAGCTCCGTGGCCCCAGGCTCTGTGCCCAGAGCCCCACCGGGCTCAGCCGGGTGCCCCTGGCTGGCCAAAACAAAAACCACCCTGCAGACACTGCCGGGCTCTCCTCTGGCTGCACTGGGGCAGAGAATGAGCTTTGTTTTCAAGGGCAATTTATGGGTGTCCCACACACCAGCCAGGTCAGGCTGGATTCCAATCCCATCTCCTCATTAAGGGCAGACTATGAACAAGCCCCTGTGCCAGGACTGGGGCACATCCCGCAGTGTCCAGCATCCTACCAGGGCAAGGCAGGGCACAAAGGGCTCCACACGCAGGGCCTGACCTGCACGGGAGGGACCAAGGGTCACAGTCTGTGCTTGCAAGGAGCCAGGGCCCTGCACAGCCGGGCCACTGACCCCACACAGAATGTTCTGGGTGTCCCAGCTCTCAGGGCCTCTTTATGCACCCAAAATCTGAATGAGGAGCACCCCAAGGCCACTGCTGCCTTGACACTGACTGAGCTAAGGGCCAGTCTGCATCCAGCAGCTGCAGCAGCTCCTGCCCTACCCTCCCTCAGGCAGGAAGCCCACACAGGGTTCCAGCCCAGGGGCAGCACCTTTTTTCCCTGCTTTGGGTTTGTGTTGTGCTGCTCTTAATTAAGCAGCACTTGGGGGAGAAGAACTTCTGCTTCAGGCTGCTGACACACAGGTAGTGAGAACAGCAGAGCCCAAGGGAGACAGGGGATCAGGACAGCACTGCAGTGCCTGGCCACGCCAAACCCATTTCTCTTTTTCATCTGAAACACATTTGAAAAGTCTTTGTCAACACTTTTAAGAGGCTACAACAGACTTGCACACATGACCGAGGCTCTCTGCTCAGCAGAACTTGGGTTTTGTGCCACTTAGTTCCTCACACAAGGCAGCCAAACTGAGGGCTGGTGCTTTGCCGGCTCACAGAGATCTGGGAGCTCCCCCTGAGCCTTGGGGATGATGGTGGGGAATGGGGAGCCTCTGATAATGGGGCCTGCAATTGATTTCCAAGGGGGATGTTGCATCTGTCACCTCCATAACCTCCACACTGCACTGGAGGAGGGGGTGGGTTTTGGTTTTAAAACTAACCTCTGAAGCAAATTTGAGGTGTCTGGGTCAGGCAGAACCTCCAGGCCCAGGTACTGCCTTCTTGGTTACAAGATTTGTTATTCTTAAAGGTTTTTTTCCCTCATAGCAACTGCTTTGGTCCTATGTTTTTCAAACAAAGAACTTGCAAGCTCAAACGTGGCCAGCTGTAGGCAGTGGCAACACTCTGTGTATGTGCGTGCAGGGACTCTGAAGCTCTGTGCATCAAGGCCTTGGTTTAATGCATTATTTAGGGACAGCTTTTCCCTTGTCCTGTTTCTCTTGCCTTTCCCTGCACTCAAACTTATGTCTGAACTTCAAAAGAAGAATTTGGTCCCTATGCAAAGCTGTGGACAAATCATGAGTTTATTTTTTAAGGCCAGCAATTCTTAATTCCTCTGGGATTGTACGGGGAAGCAGGTTTTAGTGTGAGTTCTGTGGAGAAGAGCACTTGAGTCATTAACTGAGAGCCAGCTCCCATGGCCAGACACTCTACCTGCAGCAGCTCTGTTCTGGTAGCCAAATGCAGGGAGACCCAGAGGTGGAGCAGCCCTGCTGAAACAATGGGTGGTTTGGGCAAGTGCCAGTGCAGCAGGCTGGGCTCTGCCTTCAGGAGAGAGCTGGCCTCTGGAAGGCAAACACCTCACAGGAGCCACGTCACTGTGCCACGGCCAGGGGACCCCGCTCTGAGGGCAGAGTGGCTCCTACTGACCACGGACACAAGGAGCAACCAGGAACAGCTCAGCTCTTTCTCAGTGCTATTTGAGAATGGCTGTAGTTCAACTTGATTCACTGTTTATTATGTTTAAAAAAATAGAGTTCACACAAAAGTATCATGTAAACATTGTTTAAATAGCTGCTGGTGCTCAGGCAGGACACGGGGCTGAGCTGATGGTCTTCAGTGGGGCCGCACCAGCCTCGGCGCGGGCAGCCAGGGAGGGTCTCTGGTGCTCGTGGGAGCAGGCAGCCAGCACGGTCACACTGACACCGGGCTACAGCTTTGGGTTACTCGGTTCCAGGATTCCCAAGCCAAATCTTTCAAAACGCAGGACAACTTTGCTACTGTTAATGCTGCAGAGAGTGGGAGGGAGAGGAGAAGGGAGGGGAAACAGTTACTGATGATTCATTTACAAAGCTACCGCCCTACCACAGGAGCTGAAATGAGCTTGGTTCTGCTCTCGCATCACTTCAGCTCACCCAAGAGATGCCCAAGTAATTCAGCGGCAAACACATGATGTTATTCATTCAAACCTTATCAGTGGGGAGAAACTGCACAATCTGATTTGCCCAAGGGGGAGGAGCAGGAAGTTCTCCCAGGTCTCTACCATGGGTAGAAGCCTGACACTGGTTTTCAGTGGGCACTTGCTTCTCTTGAAGTAGAAGGGAAGGAAAAACTGACAGAAATTTCATTGTAAGAGAAAGGGGAGTTTTGACAAGGTACATGAACAGGTTAAGAAACCCCAACAGAACAAACCCAAAACCATTTGCTCCTCTCCAGGCTCTACAGACATATAAAGGGGTCTCTCCCCTTGCTCTCACACTGCTGGCAGAGCCAGAAGCACTTTCAGCTCAGAGCTTTTCTTAGGAGGCTCAGGGAATGATGTGGGAGCTTGTCCTCAGACAGCAGAAACCCCCTTGGTGTGTGCTCTCCTCTGTCCCTGTCCTCTCCCCTCTGAACCAGTGAAAAAAGACCTTTTCTAGAAGGCACATGTTTGCTGTGGTAGCTGTGACTCTGCCAAGGGTGCACACTGAGTCCTTCTGCTGACCAGGGATGTAAACAGAAGCAAACCATACCATTCCAAGCTCTGGATCTGCAAGGGGAGGAGCTGAAGGGTGCTCTTGCTTTCCTCCTCTTTTACACGGCTTTGTAGCTGATCCCAGCTGACCCACGTGGGCCTGCTCTGGACACTGCCCCAGACACTGCCCAGCCTGGTTCTCAGTGGGCAAAGGCCCCTCAGCTGCTCCAAGCAGAGCAAGGCCCATCCTTCTTTCCACTCAGAACTGACCCTGGCTCCAGTGCTGGCTCTGTGCCTGAGGGAGACCCGGCCTGGCCTCAGCCCCTGCTGGTTTGCAGCGCCAGTGCTGTGGCAGTGTCCCTGTCCACCGCAGCCACAGAGCTCCAGCACTGGGACTCGGCCCCGGAGGGGCTGCGGGCCCTGCAGGACACGCAGCACTCAGGACAGCCCGGAGCTGCAGGCGGGACAGCCCGGAGCTGCAC